ACGAATCCGCATCTCCGATGAAGCGAGTACAACGACGATGAGTGCTGCCCAAAGCGGATTTCGTATTCCACGTGTATATAACGCGATTATGAACGCCTACTCGCTTTTCATAGGCATTTTAAACGAAGCTACTATAAGTTCAATTTAAGAGAATAAACCGATCTTTATATCGTCATATTATTTTAAAATGAGTATTTACATAGTTCAAAGGATTTTTTCAAGAATAAGATTAAGATATATAATCGTATTAAAATTTGGAAGAAAAGAAAAAGATTGTCAATGATTAGGTGACACACACGTGTTCCCCATTGATGCATGTTTCATCAAAAAGGAAGATCTTTTTTTTGTACTTTGGTCAGTCAGAATCATCAGCAGCAACGATATCGAGTGACCTCGCCTTCCTTCCCTTTCATTCCGGAATTTCAGCGCGCTGTTAGTAGATCTCTCTCTCTCTCTCTCTCTCTCTCTCTCTGTCTCTCTCTCTGTCTCTCTCTCTGTCTCTTCGTAGTTAGGGTGAACCTTGACGGTAATAATTAACATCCTCATCATCGTGCCAGGAGGACGTTCAAACAGATTTCGTGACGGATAGACGCTCGGTGGTTATGGAAGCTGAAAGGCTTCTAGATGGTATAGGTTGAGACGTGCACACGCGCGCATTAGAGATTAGAGAAGGATGGAAGGATGGAAGAGAAACTATGTATAATGAAGCAGGAAACCATCGAAGCTTTTGCCATACATGATAAAAGAGTATACTCCTACTGAATATATATATAACTCTCTGACCGATTCAAGGAGTTTTCTCATTTAAAAAATCATCTTACGTGTTGCTTGCATGCCTAGGGAATTTTCGGGTGCGAAGTTATATCAACCATGACTACGCGATTCTGATGTAACACAGAATGTCTTTTGTAAACTTTCTTTACCTTTGATGAATTTTTCTTTCCCCAATTTTTGTTCTCTCTCTCTCTCTCTCTCTCTCTCTCTCTCTGTGTGTGTGTGTGTGTGTGTGTGTGTTCTTTCAGAGAGCTTAGTTTTTTTTCTTTCTTTTTTTCATTGACATCTATCTACGATTTGAAGCTCAGCAGAGAGCTCAAAGTCGAGCGAGTCCAAGGTTATTGCTAACGTTTTACCTTCTTTTCAAAGAGTCGAGTGGACGTGTTTTCTTCTGAATGACCAAGCCTTCTCCGAGTTAAATGGAACGTGGACAAACAACTTCGTGATAGCATGCGTAATGCTTGACCGTCTTGTTAAAGTTCTTATTAAACTCCAGTTTTGAAAGATGTCCTCGAAAATCATACCTCGTGATACTAGAAAGTTTCTTCTTATTTTTTCTTTTTCTCTGTTTACAGTGTCAAGAGTCCTACTTCTCGTATTACGTAAACGTCATCGTATATTTTTAAAAAATAATTTATGAAAATTTTTATGTATCTTATTTGTTACAAGATATAATTAAGTGTTAACGTTTGAGATGAACATAGGAAAATAAATAATAACAATGCATCCTACGTGATTATTACGTTCGAGTAATTTTCCACTTTCCAATTACCTTCTTCTTCCTTCAAAAGTAATCGCAATTAGGAAGAGATACAGTCGCCATACGAGTTCGTATGTTCATCAGAATTCCCTTTCAATTATCTCTCAGTTCCTCCTTCACACCTTTTCGAGTAATTCGCTTAATTACAAAGGATTTTGTTCTTAACCATCGCTAATATTCCTGCTCGACACCTGGGTTGCCTTCTAAAACAATCCTTTCCTATCATTTAACGGTGCATTCAAATTAGTTTATCTTGATTTATTTAAACGACAATCATCATCATCATTATCAATCTGATTAATCAGATTTGAAAGAGTTTTCTTACATTAGTAGTCAAAGAGAAAGGAAATTTTGGTTGGTTTAGAAATAAAAATAAAAATACGTGAAAAAGGTCGAACGGGGTTTGGGGGATTTATATTGGACTAATCAGAAATTCGGATTATGATATAGCAGAAATACCGTAAGAGAAATTGGTCAATCCCACCGGCTCGGTGCTAATAACCGAGGAACACGAAGACGGGTTATGACAGCTGGTGTCGTAGCCCGTTTGGCGGTGCGCAATTGCACGGGCGACATGTGCCATTGTTCAAACAGTTCGCTCTCTGCACCTTCTATTAGCACTGTGCTTCCTCTCTATCTAACACACATACATGCATGCACACATTCGTATCATCCCCCTTCTTGCTGAGGTGCTGACGTCTCTCTGAGTACAAACCAGCTATCACAGATATGCGCATATACATATACGTATATCTAGTCTCATGTTAGCTTCTATGTATATATATATGTAGATACGTACATATATGCTAGTTTAGAATGAGAGAAGAGAGAAGAGGGGGTTGGGGAAAGGAGGTGAATGAAGAGATAGTCTCACACCTTATAGTTGGTTCATTCGACTCGATTGCGAGGGAAGAAGTACTTATAGCTGACTAGCATCTGGGCTTAGAATAGTTTGACCGTGCACCACTAAAACGTGACTTTACGCTGAGAGTGATAACGGTGATAAAGCCGAAGTAGTTGGGCCGATACTCGATCCTCGAAAATTCAACAGGAAATATTTCTCTCTATATATCTGTTATCCTCTGCTAACGTTGACTTTTATGACTTGCAATAATGTTTTGTTTATTTCTTGTTTCATTCTTTTTTTCTTCTTTCTTTTTTATTCATTTTTCGATACGAATCTCATGGTGTTTCGTATCGATTTAAATGTAACGTGATGTTTTTATTGGAACGCGAAATGAATGATGGGTATAACGATGGGGAGGAAATAAAATTATAGATCGAGAAAAGCTTTTCTATTTCACGATTCTTTTTATTACTCTATGACGTATCTTTTTGAAAAACGTCAAACGCGTAGAGTTTATTGGATATCATAGCACCTTTGTTCCCTTTACAAACAACGTTCTAACTGCGATCTAGTATTATAGAATATTGGACGTTTACGTTCAGAGAATATTATACAATATAACGAAGTATATCGCCTATTTAAAGCTTCTGTATGAACGCAGAAAAAAAAAATAAAACAGAAAAGATAACAAAATCTATAAAGATAGACACAAACACCATACGTGACAATTTATTGCACCGATCGTACAAAATTCTTCTTCTTTCTCTTTTGTATTTTTTTTTTTTTTATATTTTTATAAACAAATTTTCCTACTGAATTGTCATTTCGATATTAAATTTTACAATGACGTTTAATCGTCACTAGTTCGATTTAGTCGCTAGAGTAAGTTCTCCTACTTTCATTTAACATTCCCGTTGGTCGTTGACTGTAGTCAATCACCGCGGGAGTCCTTACTGGTAGTAGACACCTGGTTAGGACATTGCAAAGGATCGGTATTTTACTATCGACACGCTCGTAAACGTTAGAAGGACGTAGTACTTCCTGGGAATAAACTTGCGCTTACAAAGATTAGATATTCCTAACTCGAATAAGAGCTCTCTAAGGGGTCTCGAGAAACGTTTAATAATCATCGATTACCTTTTTTTTTTGTGGAAATTATTTATTACACAACGGTGTCAGCTACGGTTAGGGTTTAACTAGAATTTAATTAACATCTTTCAATTCTATAACGCTGTTAAATAAAATTAGAACTTAGTTTAGTTTCTCACGATACTTAAAGAATTTATTTTTTATTTTATTTTCCTTATATTTGAAGTATTCGTACTATAATTTCAATGAATTAAAAGATCGTTCAAGAGGTATTATTTTAACGGTACGTTAATTACATACTTCTATCCATCTTTGACTATCCATTGAATCACATGACACCTTTTACAAATGTTAGAAGGGTTAATGATTATGACGATGGTTTAACCATCATCTTTCTCTCTCGAATCTAAATTGATTCGATCGTTTCTCGTTTCACTTCTCTGTCAGTTTCCATAGATTCGAACACGTGCGAGCTACTATTAATCGATTCGATTCACGTTTCTACTACGTCGAATCACCGTACTCTAACACGAAGGGAATTCCCCGAGTCTCGGTCGTGCTCGAGGAGAGAAAGAAGCCTTTCACCGCAATTGATGCAATTTAAACTTTTTCTTTTCCTTTACAAACTATCCTTGTTTTAGCAATGCAGATGGTAGTTTGTTGAAGAGGTTCATGACTAGTTAAGATTATTTGCTACAGAGTTACATAAACTTTGGACACGTTGTAAATTCACCGAAATGATTGGTAATGTAATTGAATAACTCGTGCAAGAAAATGAAAAGAAAATAAAAAAATTAGAGAAAAAACAACTTTGATGAAATGAAAAAAAAAATAATAGGACAATTGTTTCCAATTTGTAAGAGAAAAGAAAGGAAAATTATATATTATTCTCAAAGTAGAACGATATTTGTTATAGGACACAAAGTATGAATAGCACTCGAGATATTAATAATGTCGACAATGACATAGTCCTCTATGTACTTCAAAAATTCTTGACGATTCAATCGAATGTTTTTTGATCTTTAGTCGTTTCAATATACTCCAAAAGGAATATATTTTATTCGGTGACATCAATGCAAGGTTTGACTATCCCATCTACGGTTTTTTTTTAAATCAATTCTTCGTTGTTGTTGTAGTTGTGACGTAATAACGTGTTACATTGATATTTGCCTTATCTAAAAAAAATAAAGAAAGAAAAAATATTCATTTTATACGACTCGATTTGAAAGCAAGCTCTTTTATTAGATACGCCCACGGTTAGATACGTGCATATACTTACATATATATGTAGTATGTATAGTAGGTATATTTACGTGTAAATAGATATAGGTAATAGGAGAGAGAGTAGGTTGTTTAATGCCACGTTACTCGGAAAATTCGGTGAAGATATAGTAGGGGTTTACGCGTGTGCGTAATATTCCGTGGTTGTAACATTAGCCATAAAATGTGTATATCCCATTGGGACGTTGGTATATATTGTCGTGCACCAAAAGACCATTAAACTATCGCAATATTTCCTCCTCGTTTCAGGTGATGATAGCAACACGCTGCTGTGGTGGTTAAGGTGGCTCTCGAGGAGAACCTGAAAGTGGCGAGGATCGTGAAAATCGGCAAACGAGGCGGGCGATCCGGAGAGCGGTAGTGGCGGCGGAGCGGCAGGGGTAACGTATCTCTTTTAATTATATTTAATTACTTACTCCTCTCTAATGTTCTTAGAAATTTCATTATTATTATAACGATCAATATACGGTTAACCAAAAAAAAAAATAAAATAAAATAAAAATATTCATTCTCGTACGCTCGTTAGGAATATTTTGGTAAAATGTTTTTTTGGTAAATTTTTCTTTTATTTTAAATAATACATAATTAGGATATTTATATTATAATATCATTTTTTTTTCTTTCAAAAGTTTTTAATGAATAAAACGTGAATTATGATTTTCGTGGAATAATTATTATAATAATTTTTTCATATCAAAATTATATAATATATCAGTAGGATGAATAATTTAACTTTGAACTAAATATCGTGTACGATAGTCTTTAATTTTTAAATAGAAAAAAAAGAATGTATATAGATTTAAGTTGACCGATAGGTGTGTGTGTGTGTTATTTAAAATAGAAACTATTCCAACTGGTGAATCTCATTTTCCTATTGGAAAGTGAGACTATGAATAAGATAAGATACTATCCTATCGACAATACCCATCGAATTTCGATGACTTTTAAGTGGAGTCGAGTAAACTCGTTCGCGGTAAGACATGAAAATCTTTCTTTAGTTTCGAATACGAGAATCGTTTGGCTTTCCATTCGATACAACTATTCTTACGGTCGGATAATAAAAGACCGATTATCCGATTTCATTTTCTTTTATCTATTCTGAGGTTGGTTGATCAACTTCCACTCCTTAATCCAACCACTTTATTCCACTTTCTTGCTATTTTATGAGCCATTAATAAAATTCGATACGTTCAAAATATTTGATAATAATTATTCATATTAATAAAATTTATTTTATTTTTTTTTTAGATGTAATTTATTTTTCAAAATTATTAGATCTTTAGGAACATATTTTTTTTTTTAATTTAATTTTATATGTACGAGATATAACATGTTATTTAAATGTAATTTTAGCATGTTACGTATGATCCATTATGCCATATTATTTTTTTCAGTATAATATATTCTATAGAAAATAAAATAATAAATTTTCATTTTTATAATATTTTGTATGTTTAATTAAACATTTAGTTAAAATATAACACACACACTCTATATATTATAATATATTTAAATTATTATACTATAGAAAATAAAATAATTCCTCTTAATATATACAATACATAATTCACAGTAGAAAAGAAATAACGTGAAATTACAAAAAAAAAAAAATTTATGAAGAAAAAGTACAGTTTTTATTTCATATGTGTTACAGAGTATTTAAAAGTAAATAACACATATATAACGAGCCATTTCTTCAAGGTGTTTACAATTTCTACCGGTGTATTCGTATAATGGTGTTTGACCTAGTCAAATCATAGTAAACAAAGTCTCGTCAGTCTCACTGACGACTCAATACGAGACGGTCGAATCGATTGAAACGCGTGCTAAACGATCTTACCTTTTATAAGAATCGTAATTGTGATTGTAGATACTATGGGAGCGGGGGTATGGGGGGCGGAGGAGGGCTACAAGCCACGGACCTCCGGCGAAGGCTCGAGTCCCAATCCTGCGAACGAAATTCTTCTGAGAATCCTCCTTTTTTAAGACAAGAAGATGGTTTTTACGTACCTGTTGAGAATGGCACTTGCGAGGATGAGGATAAGTAAGTATAGTAAAGAAAAAATTATTATTTGATATAATAATTATTATTTTTCTAAGGTGATATGTTCAAAGTATTCGATTAAATTGATTGATTGTTTTTATTATTACTTCTTGTAATTAATATTTTTAATGTAAAGTCATCGAACATTTTCTATATTATACAATGATAAATCCTGTAATTATTTAATTAATATAAGAAACTATCAATAGCAAATACATTATTAACGATTATCCTAATCGATATTAATTAACAAGCGTACACTTTGTCTCGTGGAATTAGTTGAATATCGATAAAACAAGGTATATATTATCAATCGATATCAATGATCGTACGTTCTGCGTGACCACAAATCACCAGGTTACTCGTGTCCGTGGAATCACGTTGAACGTTCAATTATAAAAGGATGATAAAAGGGAAAATTATTATTTACAGTTAGTTACAGAAGTATTCAGAATGTTTTCGAAATGAAATAATTTTTTCAAACCTAGCATGATCCCTTGTTTATTTTGTAAACTTTCAAATCGTGAAAACATAAAACGAATAAGAATTAAAAAAAAAGAAAAGAACGTACCTGTCATTAAATTAAATATGTAACATTAATCATAATCGTTGAATATTTATTCGTATATTAAAAAAAGCGTTCTTTTTCTTATTTGGTTTTTAAAGGGTTGAGTTCGGAGCGATTCTCGTTTCCGGTCAGCCAACTTGTACAGGTTCCCGGGCGTATAAACGTCAAGAGAAAGAGAAGGATACGGAAGAGATAAGAATTTTGAAACGCGTAATAGGATCCGATGGATCCTACCACGGGAAGCTGAGGTTTTCCACGAATAGTTTTGACAGCATCGAGAATGAAGCGGAAGCGACGACGGAAGGGGAAGGGAATGGTGAAAGGAAACAGCGACTACGGTGGTGTCGCAGGGACTTCCGGCGGATCGCGGAAGTGGCCACAAAAACTTTGCTTTTGGGCATCGTTCTCCTCGCCACACCAGGTATTCATTTTACAAGTAATTATTCAAAATCATTTTTTTTTCTTTTTTTTAATTACAAATAAATTAATTGAATGATATTACATACTTTTTAGTATTGTTAATGTAAAATATACAGATCTTACTTTAAGACAATTATATAATCAATAGGATAAATATAAACTGTGTTATGAGAATGATAGATACAATAGATACAATATATATATATATATATATAGGATAGGGAATAGATATAAATACGTATCATCGATTAGTATCCATCTCGTTACATAATTTAGGTTTCTCTGACCAAACTGATAGCTACCCCATGGTCTCTCGAGTAGAACTGATAGATCGATTTCGAATTCAGTGTACTGTGCACAGATACGCTGAAATCGGAATCGTAACGATGTCAATTTAGAACTAGGTGACTTATAATTGTGGCTTGAGTATCAATCCAACAGTTTACTTACGTGTTCAATTAAACGATAATTAATTACAATTTATCATGTATTCTATTTCATGATGTAACTCGTTTATCTTTAAATGTAGTATCCTTTAGTTGAAATGTTAAAATTATTTTTTATCAGATCATCAAAATCGAGTTTATTCGAGATACAAAATTTTGTTTTCTTTTAAAAAATTCATGAATAAGTTATAACTTTTTTTTTAAAGGAATCACAATTGATAAGTGAGAGACAAATCTTAACTTTTTCCGTTAATCGTTGGTATTTTTATAAAACTGTTATAAAAATTCGTTTAAAATACGACCATGGTACGTTTTATAAAACTCAAATGTGTGTGTGTGTATCTTTTACGGTAGAACGAGTGACGCGTTATACGAATTTCAATTAGAAAAAGCTTCCGTCCTACGATACACGCCCAAAAGCGTGTGAATGGGTCGTCTGTTGGCAGAAAAGAAAAAGAAAAAGAAAAAGAAAAAGAAAAGAGAGAAAAAGAGTGAGACAGAAATAACGAGACTTTGAACTCTTTTGCAACGTTGAATTCGCTTTGATAACATCCGTACTACCCGGCGAAGCAGTTTTTCGGCTAGTCTGAACAATTTTCAAGAGGACTTTGTTTTTTTTTCTTTCTTTTACTTCCTCTCTACTACTATCTTTTTCTTTCTCTTTTTTTTTCTCGTGTCTATCCACAAAATCGGTCGAGAAAATAACTTTCTTTCAACGACATAACGATCGAACTGAAAAGACGTGATTTTCTCGTGTACCAATGTAAAGGATTTTTTTTAAATGGTGATGGAAAAAAGAAAAGAAAAAAAATACGAAAGATAGAAAAACATAAAAAAAAAAAAACTAAAAAATAGGAATCTTATTTTTCTGAAATAAAAATGGTTAATTTAAATCGAATGATTGATCAATTTTTAGTTACATTGTGATATTTAAACTCGAACGATCAGACGACGAGTATAATGAAAATCCCTTGTAGTTTCGATTACTTCCATTTTCCGCGTGAGTAACGTAAGATATTTAATTAGAACGACGGGGGATGATGTCTACCATTCTGTGTTCTTTTTCTCTATCTCTTTGAAAGGGATTACTATTTTTAATTATCTTTATTAATAATCCTCTTTTAAACGTAGGAGGAACCTTTGCCTAATTGCAATTACATTTTCTCCAGAGGATTTTCCATTAGGCGCGTTAACTTTGTTATGATTTCTCTCGAATTCATTCTGATATTGTTTTCCCATTTTCAAACGAATAACGGCGTTTCTAATTGGCAGAAGAAGATAATAAAAGAAATAGAATAAAAAAATAAAAATATCAACCCTCTCGTTCGTGTTCGTACGTAGAAATTATTAATGTAATTATAATTTTTTGAATTATAATCGTGATAATTACGTTATGTTAAAACTGAAATCACGTGTTAATAGTTTAAAAAACGAAATTAAAGTAAATTAAATTGATTCGATTATTGGTGATAAAAAAATATAAAATAAAAAGTGTTCATCCGAGACTAATGGTTTTTTTCTTTTCTATTACTTATATACGATCAACCAGAGTACGAGTGTAATTATCAAATTTAATATTTCTTGTAAGTACATATATTCTTTTGAAATGTATCAAAGTATTCGTAGTTTCATTTATTTCTTTTTATTTGTTTTTTTATTTTTATTTTTATTTTTTTTTTTTTTTTTGATACATCCTCGTGCATATTATTATACATAATTAACGTATTAACGTACAACAAATCTGCGTTGCATTTGTTATCCTCGTTGGCATCATTTTAATGAGAATGAGTTTTATTAAAACTCTTTTTAAAAAAGAGATTGTCATAATTATACGCTGTAAATAACATACGGAAGGAATCTTCGTATACTTATGTTTATACACGTGTGTGTATATTCACGCACGTACTTACTTTACTTTACATACGCATTTTAAATATCATATACACGTCCAATCGGATTATACGAGTCTTCTTTTCAGTTTTTAGTTTCTTTTTTCAAGAATGAAATACATTTCAAAAGAAGTGCGAATAAAATTAATAATAATATCGATATTTCAACTGATAAACTAATAATTACTTTCATGAATGTTTATAATATGTTATACATTAATGTCTATTCGATACACGTCGCACTACTTTAACATAATGAAATTTGTCGCAATTACATGGTAATTATATTCCATTAGCTTTCTCGTGCGAATGTGTTCAGGAACGAATGAGATTTGTGAAAGTCGGAGAAGCGTACGTCGAAACATTCTAATGAGAAGATCTTTGCGTTTAAGTAGGCGACATTTAACGTCGACACGAGTGCGTTATTTCAAAAACGGGATTTACAGTCAAAGCTAAAACATCTACATATCTATATATATATATATACTAGAAGAAGTAATTAAATCGTAACTCGTAAAAAGAAAATCTATCTTATAACAAAAAATAAAAAACAAAACGATGGGATCGATTAAACCGATTTTATTTATATTTATACGTGTAATATTTTCTATTAAGTTTTATTTTCTTTTTAATACTATTGCCGGAGACCATTTCAAGTGGTAATCCCATTAAATCCAATAAACACCTTGTACACAATTTTCTTGCAATTTTTTATTTTTATTTCTTTTATTTTTATTTCAAGATACGAACGAATGGTACTGACTTTGGTAATTAAAACGGTGGCAAAAGTTGAACGGTAAGAAGAGTTTCGAGCTTCAGGTTCTCGATGGTAGGCAGACGTTTTTATAGCCTCCCATGTATAGTATTAAAAAAAAAAAGAAAGAAAAGAAGAAGAAGATAGAAAGGGTGAGAATGAAATTACCAAGAAACGTTGTAAACGGAGAAAGAGAATACGATAAGGAAAAAGAGAATGAAAGAAATTGAAGTGAACTGAAGGCGTGTAGCAAAAGAAGAAGAACAAGAAGAAGAAGAAGAAAGAGGAAGTAAACTGAAAGGAGAGGGATGAAACGGAAAATACGAGAAAATGACGAAAAAAGAGAATAGCAAAATTAGCGGAAAAGTTGTTTAATATAGAAAGTTTCCTAAGTTGAGGGCATGGGCGTAAAGCGGCCATTGTGATCGCCGCTTGTGCGGCATTACTTTCGTTCCCTCCCCCTCCCCAATACTATCCCTTCACTTTTCAACCCCTTAAACTCCCACCTACACCTCCTTCTACCACGTCGTCACCATTTTAGCAAAACTTTGCCGCCTAACGCTCGTAATTTATTTATTTCCCAATTATTTTCAACCGGAATTCACGAAGCTTTTTCCTCCACCCCTGACTTTATCCGTTTGCTGCTCTCTCAGTTCCATCTTTAAATATCTTATTAAATTCACGTAATGTCGTCGATTTATCTCGATAGAAAAAAAAAGGTAAAATCAAAGGCATTTTATTTTAATTTTTGTATTTTCAAATTTAGATAGATGATAGCAAAAAATTTGATATTTCATTTTGTAAAACTTATTCAAAGATTAATGATAATTAAATTTGTACAGTTGTAAGTAATAGGAAGACGATAGTAAATATAATTAAAAATTAATAATATAATTAAATTAAATTAATAATAATAATAATAATACTACTACTACTAATAATAATANAATAATAATAATAATAATAATAATAATAATAATAATAATAATAATAATAATAATAATAATAATAATAATAATAATAATTGAAATTGAAATTGAAATTGATTGGAACTTTAAAGATGAGTAGTAAGATAATTTCTATTTTCTTTTAATGACTTTGCATTATACGATCATAAATTCTTTTTTTTTTTTTTTTCTTTTTTTTCTTCCCTTTTCCCCTTTCTCTTAACGATCTTTAAAGAAGAAGTTTACAACTTTGAACGATATTCTTTGAAAACAGCAGCAACATTGCTGTTAAGTTTTGTACGGAATCATCATCGTCACCATCTTCTCGGTGTCGTCGTTAAAATGTGCAATTAATCATCGTAATAAAAAAAGAACATGGTCGTTCGTAAAAAGAAAAAAAAAGAAAAAGAATCCGATAACTTTGGTCTTTCTAACTTGCAATTTTATAGGACGATTATGGTCGTAGTCGTGATCATCGCACAGATGGTTAGCGGAACAACGAACAATATTGCACAGATGACGGTTCTCGTTCCGTAAGGATAATGACGAAGATATAAAGAATCAGTCGTATCGAAATATATCTCATTGAAGTAGGATTTTAACGGTGTCAAAGAACAAATTTATAATCATATATGGTCACCATAATAATTTAATAATAATAAATCATATGTTTTTGTTTGAATTTATTATTTGATCAATCGAAAATTTATAACACGAATATTTATCGTCATTTTAATTGAATTAAAGTCTAACAAATTTTCATGCGTCTTTTACTTTGGATTATGTAAAATATCCGCTTACCTCTTTCTAAATAATTAATATCAATTCTGTAGTCTTTAGAATATAAGGGCTGTAGAATACTCGTTAGTATCGGTTAATTGCTTTTAGCCCGGTTTCCTGGGTGGTTCAACCGCGCGTGGAAAAGCATAGCGTTAGCAACGGCAAAAGCGAAACAGCCTTAAACAGGTGCTTTAACTATTTAACTTACGCGAAGCTTCATGTATTTGCGTGCGAAAGAGACTGAGAGAGAAAAAGACTAAGTGAGAAAGAGAGAGAGAGAGAGAGAGAGAAAGTGAGAGAGAGATCCGATGCAACGTCTCGTTAATTTCACGCTTCGTCGCTGCTTGAAAATTTGGCTGGTAAAATATTCGAGGATATTTCTTGCCCCTTCTTCATTTTCTTCTTCTTCTACTACTTTCCTTTAAAAGCAACGGCAAAAAGATAGAGAGAGAGAGAGAAACGATGAACCGAAGCGTGTGCATTTTACGTCATAGAACAACGTTACCGTGATATTTTCTCACGTTTCATTATAACGTCTTTGCGTTTGGTTAATTAACGACGAAGAAAAAGCCTTCTTCTACCACAGCTTCCGTACTTTAATACATTCCAAAACGAACTTGCAAATTTCTACTTGACGAAGCAAGCAAGCAAGCAAGCAAGCAACCAACCAACCAACCAACCAACCAACCAACTGTCCTAGAGAATAATCAACGATCAACGAATAAGATTACAAGTTGGTAATAACTACTTAAGTTTACACAATGGTTAGTTTCTCAAAGTGGCAAATCAAAAATGTATCCATCTCGTCATATATAATTAACAAGGTAAAGGTAGAAGTTGTTGGATGGTAGATACTTACTCGTTTGGTTAGTTTTCGTTAAAGAATTAATAGGATCGTTAAGCAACGTACACATTGCTTTAGTTTTTCACGTTGAACAACGACCAAACGAGAGATGGACGATACACGATGATGCCGTACGACTTTGAAGTATAGTCGATGGTAAAATAAACAAGGAAGGCAAACTACCTAGTCTGACTGAGATAGTAGTGGGCTTTGAGAAACAAGCGCGGACATTGGTTTTCGTATCTAAAAGGGAAAAGCAAAACTATTTGTAGAAAAGAGGAAGAGGAGGAGATAGAAGAAAGTAGTGGAAAGTAGGAGGTAAACGCAGAAAGCGATTTAAAGGACGTACCAACGTACTAATCTCGATGTTACCTATGTACCAAACTTAGGATCTAGAGAAGCGTGGAATCTAACGGGTGAATAAGTGGGGGTGAAGGATGGAAGACGTTCTTGGATGTAGGAAGCAGGTTAGGATGAAAGGTATTTCCAGTTGGCTTTCCACGAGCTTGCTCTTCACCGCAGAGTTATCCGATAGATCGCCGTTCAAAGGCGCGAGTACCAAACGAGATCGACTATGGGCTAGTTGAAGGATATACCTTTACCTCCTTACGATAGAAACTAACGCACTGATCAAACGTATTTTCCCTTTCTGTCCATCTATATCTCTGTCTAGTGGATACCAATCGGCAAACCAGCCGAGTAATCGTTAATCTTCTAACCGAGTAATTAGTCGATTTGTTATTTAAGATGCTTTAATTGGCAACAAAACTAGATTTTGATTTATATGTTCGTCGATTATCCAAAGAATTATGTATCCTGGATTTAACTTCTGGGAAAAATCCAACGATAGACAAAATTTTTTATTGAAGGAGTTAGCATATAATATATTTTTATGTTTTGTAGGAATTTTGTTGTTCTTTTTTTTTAATAGTCTTGTTTATCTTTGCAATTTTTTACAACACTTGACAAAAACTGTATTGTAATATTACAATATAATAATATATATATATATATATAATTTAATTTAATTTAATTTTAATTAAATATATAATAATTAAAAACTATATTATAATATTATATTGTAATTGTCGATTATTTAATCTCACATAAATATAAAATTTTTTATTGATCGTTCGTTTAAAAAATTAAATTATTATTATTATAGAATCGTATTACGTGATATCATAATTCAGTAGAAAACACGTGGAAAAAATTATGAGACATCGTTTAGTGTATATTCATTGTAAACGTGAGACGTCTACTATCATTTTGCATATTCGCGGAAGCTTCGAAAGAAGGGGGTTGGGGGAGGATCGATCGGACGAAGTTACTTCGTTGGAAATAATCGCATGCAAAATGCATCTTCAATGTTCTCTCTCAAACCTTCTCCTCAATCTTCACCGCGTCAACGTCAAAGGAAATGACACCGAAACGTTTGGAAACGGCGTTCTATTATTCGACTAATCGAAATCTACGTCGTCATTGTCTTGTCTACGAAAGACACGTTCCTAAAATATATCAGGATTCTCCTTTCACAATTTATCTGTCCTACAGACTTTACAGCTTTTCGTGTAACAGCTTTTCGAAAGTGTATGGATTGTAGTATAGAATGGGGGTTGGGATTGGAGTTGGGAATGGGGGTAAAAAGGTGGGAGAGATGAGTACGACGCTTCGGTACGCGTGCCGTTCGAAGTGAATCCTTTGATCTGAACTTTTGACGTGAGATACAGTCACGTTTGTTTGGAAAGTTAGTCCTCGAACATTAAGCTACATCATAAGGCTAACATTGTAAGGCACCTTCGTTCGCGGACAAAGGGTGGACTTTCTCTCTACATTTCCGGAAACTATACCTATCCCTTTATTGAATAACAGGTAATAGCTTTAGGATGATAAAACTTGTTTCGAAATATACAATTTTTTCTATTTCATTGAATTATCTTTTATTGTTAGTGAATTTGGTTCAATAAGGTTTAGAAAATTAATTAATAAAATTTATAATGAAATAAATAGGATCGTAAAGTAGGACTAATGTTAGCTGTTGCTGCTGCTGCTACTGTGGCAGTTAGAAATTTAAGGTATTTTTTTTTTGCAAGGAAAATGAGAAAGAAAGTAATTAGTGTCTAGATTCGTTAATTATTATTATCGCTAGAATAAATTTCACTCGTTTCTCCTGCTAGGTGTGTATTGTATTTTCGAAAGAATTTCATCGAGTACGTTTCTCTTTATTTCTCTTCTGGTACGAAACAACGATAAGTTTTACGTTTCGTATAACAGAAAGAGAGAGAGAAAAAGAGAGAGAGAGAGAAAGAGAGAGCATGGATTCTCGCGTTTCTCTTGGCAATATGCAACGGTGTAAAACTTCACGCGAGGAAACTTCGAAGAATGTATTTCCACCTGGACGTTTTAACTTGGAACATTCAAATTGCATTAAGTGCGCCAACCGAGTACGGGATTCAATTTATTCCTCTGACAAGCTTCTACTATCGTCGAAAGAACGTTCGAGATATTATGCTTGGGATAAGAAGAAAAAAAGAGAGGAAGAGAGAGAGAGAGACAGTTCCAAAGCATAAAATAACAACGAACTGTGCAATATCGTAGATTTTGCACACCTGTCTATGGAATAACATATAAATTGCATTTATATAAGAAAATAATATATGTCTGTCTTTTCTTGAGTATGTACAAAAAGTGAGATACATACTGTACAATAATAAAAAACAAAAATATAATTAAATATTCTTCAAACATAAAGACAAAATATCTGACCGAATTTTTGTATCGTATAAATGTTATTTTAATTCTTTTTTTGTTTTGTTTTTTTATTACGAAACATATTGGATTTCGTATTGGAATGAATTTTCCAATGGCATATAAATAATGGATTTCAAATATTTTGTTATTTTAATATTGAAAAATATGAAGAGATGGGTAGATAGAGAGAGAGAGAGAGAGAGAGAGAGAGAGAGAGAGAGAGAGAGAGAGAGATAGATAGATGGATATGAGAACAGATATTGATTAAAATTTGTATTTTGTTTCAGGACTTTGTCATCAGGACGCGGTGCATATAACGGCTATATTGGGAGAAAGTGTTGTCTTCAACTGTCACGTTGAGTTCCCTGGTGAGCACCCAGTGCCCTACGTTCTTCAATGGGAGAAGAAGGTAGGCGACAAGGTACGATAACGTCGACACCCTCTGCTCTCTAATATCCGTGAGTTAAATACGTGGGCCCTGCTCGATTAAATACAAGCGTACTCCTGCTGCTGCTGGAACGATTATCTCGCTTTTATTATCATATTTGATAAGATTACTTTTCCAAATTTCACAGGCACTTCACATTGTTCTGTGCTTTAACATTTTCTAACAATACCTTTCATTTTAAATATCAATTACATTTGAACCTTTTTCCTCTCTCTCCCATGTTATCATTATAATTGTATCATTTCATTCGAAATTCATTCATTCATTATTCGCATCGATTCATTCATCTTTCCAATCGAACACACTCAATTTTCTACAACTTAAATTTATCGAACACCATTCAATGGATTTCTTTTATTTTCTCTGATTTGATATCTTTTTTTTTATTTTCAAGGAACGATTTTACGTATCTACTTACCCTTTTCACATCATCGCACATGTTTCTTTTGTAATTGATAAAAAATACTCTTCGTATCTTGTTTTTTCTTTTCATCGTGATGTTTTAAAATTTTTTATAAGAACACTCGTTTAAAACAACTACGAGCAACATCATCGTCAATTATAATATTTCCTCTTGTGAATTCTTTCAATCGTTCATTTTTCTTTTCATTACTTTTTTTATCTTCTTTTTTCCTAACGCGAACTTTATTTTCATATTTTACCTTCGATCGAAAGGTAACACATAACGAAACGTGCTACGTGCTATCGATCTATGAAAAAAGCGTTCGTCATTTAAACGTTTAAAAAAAGAAAATAAAAGAGAAATTTTGTTTAACGGTACAAGTCAACATTTCCATCGGAAATATATTTTCTCTCTCTTTTTTTTTTTTTTTACTTTCTCGCCTTACTCGGAGAAAATTATTTTCAAATTACACGATCATTGAGCAGCATTCGGAACATTGAAATTTCTCTCTCTTTCTCTCTCTCTCCTTTTTTTCTATATTTTGTGTTTTCCTTTTTTTTTCTTTATTTGTTTCGTCGTTTTTTTCGTACTCTCTCGAACACTCTCATAAGCTTCGTTTACATAAAAATTTACTGCTAGCTCTCTTTGCCCAGAAAAAAAAAAATAAAAAAAATATCGTAGTTTGCAATTTCGCTGCTCTTCTTTAATTTCTCGATTTAACGTTGCGTAATCGCCAAGTGGAGCGTGAACTGAAAATAGAGGAGAAAGATGAAGAGAGAAAGAGAGAAAAAGAGAGAAAAAGAGAGAGAGAGAGAGAAAAGCATATTCTGCCTGAGTAAATAGTATTCCTATGAGCTTTACGATCGAATCTTCCTCTCTTTTTATCCGAACATGTACTATATACTATACTAGTATACGTATGTGTATGTGTATGTATATGTGCATCAATGCAATGACGTATCTGTTTATACGAATACACGTTTCGCGATACGGGCAGAGGTTGAATGCCGGGGTTGATCGTTCACCCATGGGGACTTTTTCCAGTAGACGAGCAACGAACAAGCTTTATAACAAGGCTACACGAGCTCTGCAGTTTCTGGCAAAAGCTTGTGCTATTGCTTTTGAAATACTTTGCTAATTAGTTCGAACCGTTGAAAAGCATTTCAATTTTCGTCCTACAACCCAACCAACCAACCAACCAATCAACGACTTCTTCCAACCTCCTGCATTACTATCGTTTCTTTGTTTCTTTTTACAATTTCTTTATTTGATTTCATTTTGTTTATTATTCAAACAGTTACAAGCATTTCATTATAACATAATCCGTTTATATATATGTTTTTTTTTCTTGTATTATTTTTCCCTGACTGATAATGGTTCTTTGTCGTTAACATGTTTTCATTCGTAATTCATAAAACGATCAACTGGCAGCAAGGAGGAGGATGCTCGATGAGTAGTAGGGCCCCGTTAAAATATATATATATATATTACATATAATACGTATTTGAAAGTTGCAAGCAAGAATTATTATCAAGATTCGTATATATATATCTATATATTTATTGTACAATTAAATAATAATTTTTGGCTTTGACGCGACAATTTCATTTAGCTTTACGCGCTTGAATAATTATTATTCATTTTCTTCGTTTAATTTTTTTCGTTGAAATAATGAAAATGAACAAACGGCGAAACAAGACCCGCCGTGTCCACGAAACTTCGTGTGACATTTTTCTTACGTATATATTTATTAATTAATTAGATTAAACAAAGTTAACAAATTTTTGATCAATTTATTTTCGATGAATATTTTATATATATATATTTATAAGAGTCTCGCGTAAAAAAGAAAAAAAATCTAATGTTCAATTACGTTGTCTTAATTAGTATAAATGTGTATTATATTTTTCTATGAATTTTTGTGTAAAACAATCCGGACTGGAGAGGGCAGAGCATACTTTCTTTGTATTTTTTTTTCTTCTACTTCTTCTTCTTCTTCTTCATTCGCAAAAAAAAAATATAATGACATTACATGCATAATACACATACATGATAATCATCTATTTCAATCTTTGTGTACTAATCCCTCTATGAAAAAAAAAAAAAAGAAAAAAATCGATGCTACTTAACTTCTATTAACTCCATTCATTTTCACTCTCTGATTTATCTTCAAATTTTCATATGTGTACATTTATAAATGTTACGGGATCGATCAATGATAAAAAAAACCATACAAAGATACGTACACATATTTAGTAACAGTAAGTTCGTTCGTGGACCCGGTTATTAAGTATAAAAAAGGGATAAAAAAATTAATAATGGAAACGAAAAAGAGGCAAAGGGGTTAAAACATAAAAAATAGAGAAAAAGAGAGAGAGAGAGAGAGAGAGAAATGGAGACACGTTGATTGGTTCTAAATCGTGGCAAATTGATTTCGAATGTAAAAAGTCGCTTACGCGCGTTTATTCTCTTCAAACCATTTTCTCTAACTCTTTCTATCTCTCTCTCTCTCTCTCTCTACGGATAAAATAATCGGCCCTTTTAATCAGCCATACGCGCGTACCTAGCAACCTTTTAATCAGTGTTACTAGCTTTAAAAAGCTCGATTTATCCAATCGATCGTCGTCGTTGTCGTCGTAGTCGTCGTATGCTGTGCTTGGTAAAAAAAAAAAAAAAAAAAAAAAAAATATATATATATATATATATATGTACATATATAATACATATATATATAAAGTTCTGATGGTTTTTCGAACGTTCTGATCAATAGTATTCAGCTTGAAAAAATTTTTTTTTTCTTCTCTCCTTTATCACTCCTCTATTCCTACCCTTTTACTATTTTTTTTCTCTTTTTGGCCTTTTTTATTCGCGTCAAACCTATTTCCGGTACCGATTCCTACGAACGAACGAACGAAACGTACGTATCAATCTTTTTCTTTTTCCTGTGGAAAGAGGTAGAAAATTCGTTGCACCTACCCAAATAGGAAGTTAAAAGAGACCCAGCGAAGGAAAAAGAAAAATAAAAATGGGAGAAAGAGAGTGAGAGAGAGAAGGAAAGAAACACCGTTCCATTACCCGTCAACGTCGAACTGGACGCTCATTTGTCAATGGATAATTTAGAAAAACGATTGTTTAATTGTTTCAAATTTAAATTGATGCTATCGTTTCTTTTCGATTTATTTTTGACAAAAAAAAAGCACCAATAATTCCATCCACTAGCACGTTTAATTACAATTTCATTTTAATTTAAAATGTGAATAAAAATATTGGATTATTTATTAAACGTTAAAGAGAATCCGTTTGTGTTCGTATTCGAAACACATTGGTGTTCATTAAGAGAGTAAAAGAAAAAAAGAGATAGAGAGAGTGGGAAGGAGTGGGAGGAGTAAAATTTGTTAAATGTTTCTTCATTGTCGTACACGAGAAGGCAGCTTTCATCATTTTGCCGCGAAAGACCTATGACAGTTTTTCAATTCATCACATTTCCTTTGAACGGCGAGCTCGTCCATCACGAAATAATGCGGGCTAGTGCACTTTCCCGTTCTACCTTTTTTTTCCCCCACCCAATTCCTATACACCCGTCACCCTATCATCCTGCCACCCCATAACCCTAACTCTTGCTTCCTCTACACTCTATCTGTTGTATTTTTTTTTATTTTTCTTCCTTCTCTCTCTCTCTTCTTTCTCTCTCTTTCTCTTGACGGAGGCGGGTAATCGAAAAATCATGTCTCTGTCTTCTCTCTAACCACCTTTGGTGCTTTGCATGATTTGCTAACGCACGTACCACGGACGGATCAATCAAAGAAGATTTCAACCGTTCCAACTTGACGATGAATGAAAAAAAAAAAAGAACAATATTTCGTTTATTCGAAAAGTCACATAAATTTAGAATTACTACGGTTTTTTATTTTCTCTTTTTACTTTTTATTTCTTTTTTATTTGAAATATTAAGCAATAAGCCAAGTTTGTGTTCAAAAATTTTTTTTTAATTTCTATTTATATATATGTATATATATATATATATATATATATA